TGCAGGGGGCTGTGGTGGTGGAAAACAGAGCTAGTGGGGGGGTCGGGGAGTCCTTCCAGATAAGGGTGGGGGGAATAGTGGCCCCAAACTGGTCATGAGGCTGGACCGGATGCTATTTCAGGTCCTAGGAGAAGTTTGGGGGAAAATGGCCACCCCCAGAATTTCCCCCCTGGGCTGGGTAGCGCAGACATAATGGGTCTGGGGGGCTCGATCCGACTGCTGGAGCTGAACCAGCCAAGCCTCCAGGGACCCTGCCGGGGTGGACCAGGCACCTGCAAGGCTCATCCTACGTAAGTCGCTCCCCAGGAGTGGGGCTGGTTCATCTGAGCGCTGCAGGCACCAGGACCAGCTACGACCTCAGATTTGGCGCAAGGAGGCTCTCCCAAACCTCCTGCTCTGCTCTGCCTTGGTGAGAGGTGCCCCAACACCTGGATCTGCCCCTTGGGGGTGACCCTCAACAGACCCAACCCAGGATCTGTCCCTCAGCCCTCTCCTCCAGCAGAGCCTGCACACCCCAAGGCAGGGATGGGAACACCTGTAGGACCATTACAAGCCCAGTGCTGGACTTCTCCATCAGCTGGTGGCCCGTGGGCTTCCCCTTCACCTCCTTGGCCAAGTGGCCAGTGTAGGGCTGGGGGGTTCAAGCATCTATGGACCGTCTGGGGACCGTGGCAATGTGCCACCTCCAGCCTTCGGGCTGTGCCAGCAGCAGGGCGACGAGAGTTTATTTGGATTTGAACGATCTGTTTGCTCTGCAGAGAGAAAAAATAAACCGGGGATGACGGGCTCATGTAAACACCATGCTATTTATGGGAGGCGTTCGCTGGAGCATCTCACAGCGCATCTCCTCACACATCCTCCACCGCAGGGAGGAGGCTGTTACCCCACTATAGGGCTGAAGCCCTAAAGCCAGAGGCAGCGCGTGGGGTGGGAACGCTCAGGACAGGGTACCGGGAGTGGAAAGGGCATCCCCAGAGAGCCCCAAAACCCCTCGCCCACCGGCTTTGCAGGGCGAGTGTCCTTGCAATCAACCTCTGGCTGGGAGCGGAGCAGGAAAACTGGCAGGTTCATCACTGGAGTGCAATGCGGAAGCAAACGCAGGCAGGCCCCGGCCTAATTGTATGCAAATCTCCCAAACACCGAGATTAAAAACCACTCCTTTTCCTTACTGGATTTGCTGTTTGTTCTCCCTCCCTGAACTCGTGCCCCAGCGCACTTAATTTTAGCAGCACCCCTAAAAAAGCCCCACGTTATGCCAAAAATGAGCTGCCCAGCTGGGTGTCTGCCAAAGCGGGGCAGGAGCTCTCCCACCAGCCCGAGCAAACTCTCCCAGGGCTTTGGCAGAGGCTGTGGAGATCGCACAAGCAAATGCTGTTGGTGGTTGTTGCAGGTAGTGGCACAGAGCCCGTTCCTGATGGACGTGGCATCATCTGCTCACCCTCCTGGACACCAGGCTAGGGCTTGTGTCAGGCGAGTGTCGGAGATTCCTTAAAAAAATCCATTATAGGTAATTTTCTGGTGAGCATCAGGCACCCAGAAGGTTGTTCCAGGCTCTTGCTGGGGTTTGGAAGGAGGAAATGGCCTGAGAGGTGCAACGGGTCATGATGATCCCAAAGAAATGTCGGACGATGCTGCTGCAAGCAAATACCTGCTGCAAGCCCTGGCACAGAGCAGGAGATGGGATGAAGGAGGGCAAAGCAGGGACATGGCGTGGCTTCAGTATTCCTGGCTTTTCCACCTTGCTGCCTCCCGTGAGGTGGGGACAGGACCAAACCTGGGCCACGGCAGGAGGGAACGGTTCGTGTTCGGCTCCGTGACAGCGTGATGCACCGGAGGGTTTGGCGTGTCGGGGCCGGCTGAGCCAGCCTGCCCGGCTGACGAGACCAAACCCTGACTGAACACCCCCAGGCATCGGCAGCAACCAAGAAATGCTTTTCCGAGGAGGCAAGTCGGGGCATGGGTAGCTCATTTCCACCCGTCTCCAGCCTTTCTTGGGGGTTTGAGCTTTCCCCCTCCTGCCTCAGTTTACCGACATGAAGAGCAGCTCCACACTGCCGTCCCGGGTGCTCGGGGATGCAGGAGAAGTTGAGGGTTTCTCCACCTCTTCCATCACAGGAACCATCTCACAGACCTTCTGGTTATGGAAAGGGGCCTCTTAATTAGGGAAGTTAATTAGGAGCGCGGCTGGTGCCAGCAGCACAGGGCTGTGTGCTCAGAGGGCTGACGTCTCTGTGAGATATTAATTAGGATGAGAGACCTCCCAGATGCCATGGTCCAGTGGGTCCAGACAAGATGGCACAAGGCAGAAAAAGAAGTAGCGAACAAAGGGAAAACCCAGAGCTTTTCCAAGGATGCCCCGGCTGCACTGAGCTGCTACAGAGCGACGCTTGCCCCAGAGTGTCCACCCTGGGGCCACCGGTCCCTGTGCGCTGGGTGACACAGGGCCCCAGCGGGACTTCACTGGGGACACAGGGCTGCTCCATGACTTGTGCCTGGTTTCTCTCCCATTTAACGGGATACGTGGCCATTGGGAAGTGGTTTGGGGAGCAAGTTCTTGGGCTTTGCAGGAGATATTCAGAGTAGAAAAAGAATCCCAGGGCGATAATGTAAACCAGCAAAGCATAGAATCATAGAATCATAGAATGTTTTGGGTGGGAAGGGACCCCTAGAGGTCACCCAGCCCAACCCCCCTGCAGGAGCAGGGACACCTTGAACCACATCAGGTTGCTCACAGCCCCGTCCAACCTGGCCTGGAATGTTCCCAGGGATGGGGCCTCCACCCCCTCTCGGGGCAACCCCTGACAGGGTTTCACCACCCTCACTGCAAAGAATTTCTTCCTTAGATCCAGTCTAACCCTCCCCT